TGAAATCGCATCATATGACCCCTTTAATTACAGGGGCTATAGCATTTCTGTGCTAAAGAAATGGCCAAATATTAAAGATTAAGTGGACATTTGAATTAGATGGTGTTTGGTCAATATTAAACAAGGATTAGATCGCACAGTAATGTGTAAAAACGATCGTCAGACCGTTGGCGCCCCCTACAGGCCTTTGTTGTAATGTGTACTGTACATTAGCTCTATTGTTTATAATTATGTATTTTAACAATTTTGTTCAATAAAACCATATGATTTCTTGCTTTTGATACTTTATTTGAACTAATTATTGCATCATTGCTATTTTATATGTATTTTAAGTCATTTTAAAGGCTGTTGTTCACTTGCATATATTTTTATTACCACTATTTTTTTTTTAATAATTATAGGGCACTATGAAATCAGTTTTTATTTCCAAATTCAGTTTTTTCCATTTTTCTATACTCCGTTTTAATGGTTAAATTAAATTTTATTAAAGGGGTCATATGATGCGATTTCATTTTTTCCTTTCTTTTTAGAGTGTTACAAGCTCTTGGTGCATAAAGAAGATCTGTAAAGTTGCAAAGACTAAAGTCTCAAATCCAAAGAGATATTCTTTATAAAAGTTAAGAGTTAGCCACACCTACCTAAAACGGCTCGTTCGAACACGCCCCCACATATCTACCACACTATGTGGGAAGATTTGCATAACACCGCCCAAATGTTCACGCAAAGATTAATCGAAATAAAAATAGTCGTTAGTGGCAGCCCTACAACAAACTCATCTACATCTAGGATGGCCTGAAGATGAGTAAATTTTCAGCAAATAGATTTTTTTTATTATTATTACATTTCTAAATTTGAAGACCTATTCCTCAAATGAAAGATGTGAAATAGATATGACAGTAATTTTATAATAATATTATTGTGTAAATCGATTATGTTTTAATGGTAATTGTGTATTTTTTTATTTTTTTTTGTCTGTGCTTTTTTTTCCCCTCAGCAAACAGCCTGATGAATGTTATTTTTGGAGGACAAATGGCTGCATTAAGAATGGCTGCACTTACAAGCATATACCAGAAAACAAAGGCATTGACCGAAATAAAGCCAAATCACACCCCTGATTCCCAGCACACCGACAGGGATTTAACCATCTCAATCTCTGTAATTAGTTGGATACAGTAAAAATTCACATGGATAAAACGTCAGCGTGGGGCTTTGGTGTTTGTTTGGTCATTCTTCTGAATATTTTATCATTTCTGTTTAAAAAATAGTCTTAATATCAGTCTGTACACAAAGTTGAAGAGAGTTTTAATTTTGGACAATGATGGCTGCATTTTAATCAATTTATTCTTTATTTTAGTTTATTTTTTTGTCCCACAGAATAATACATTCCTTCTTACCAAGTCAGTTATTGGTTTTAATGTTTTTCGAGACGGTGACGGTGAAGTTTTATATTAAGGCTGTCAAAAGTTTAATGTATGGTCACTGCAGATTTTTTTTACAGCTATTGGGAAAAAAATATGTGCCTTCTGACCCTATCTGAGGGTTTTAAACCATAAGTATTGTTACATTGAGAGGTTTTATTTGGACTTCTTATCTGCAGGTTTTAACCTGCTTCTGTAAAAGCTGAAATGCCACAAGTTAAAATAATTAAATTTGTCAATACTCCTGATGTACTCTGCCACTTCTGCTGTAGAGATGATCTGCAGTAGATCAGGAAAAAAAGTCCATGTAGTTGTAGTTGATATATCTGTAAAGCAATGCAAAATGACTCTGATACAATAAAAGGTGTCCTAAAAAATGGGGGGAAATCTTTGAATTTTTTTTTTTTTTTTACCCGTGTCATTATTTAAACGTTTATAATATGTAACCTAAATATCCTGGCTTGTTTATTACCAAAAAAAAATTCTCATTACTTAATTAAATAGTTTATAAAAACAAAAATTTATCCAGATGAATTAGACCCCTGAAACCCTTGTAATTAAAAGAGGAAACATTACTGATGAACGACAAGAAGTCGAACATCAAAACAGTAAAAGATGTAAAGTATTGGAGCATAACTAATTAGTGTTAATGAGTGGGCCAATCTGAGTATACTGGCTGTGCTATAAATGGATATTGATGCACATCATTTCTGTTCATGGGTCTCCCACTGAGTTCATCATGACTAGGATAAAACTAAATAAATTATTTAAAAAAAAGCCATTCACATTGTTAAACACAGATTAATAGTATTTTACAATAGATGTACCTTTTACATTTTTCACAGCCTTATGTCATTTGTTATTCAAATTGGAGGAATTTGTGACATGGCATTCATGAATTAAGAATTTGCCATTCACAATTATGAAGTTTACAAAACTGTCAGTGGTTTTAGTCTTCATGCTTGTAAATTTTTTGCAACAAAAAAGGTATTTTTCAAAAGAAAACAAAAGCAGCATTCTTTTCCCATTTCAAAAGCTTAAGTAAAATAATGTATTTGAACAAATTCAACAAATCTAATCCACATAATCTGAAAGTAGGAAACCGTGCCAGCGTCACTACGGTGCTTGAGTTCACTTCTCCGTTTTAAACTCTGCAAGCGGCAAATGTCACTCACACATTTTGAATTGCTTCATGTGATCCTGTCTGCTGGTTAATCAATAAATACAATTTACTTTATGGCATTTGTCCTTTTGACATTATATTGAAAAGAGTAAACATCTTAATACACCCCACACTTTAATTTTTATGTAACGTTTAGTGAGGAAAAAATAAAATGTGATATTGCTGAAATAGGACCTAAATAGAGCATCCCAGATGTATATGACTTTCTTTCTTCAGATGAACACCAACAAAGATTATTAGAAAAAGAATCCATCTGAGTCCATATAATGCAAGTTGACAGTCATCCAATAGTCTTCAAAAACTCACAAAGCAATCACAACTGTAATCCATACAACCCCAGTGAATGAATCAATGTCTTCTGAAGTGAAACGTGTGTGTGTGTGTGTGTGTGTGAGAAAAATACTAATATTTTAAACTAAAACAATCGCCTTTGGCCAGCTGTCAAACATGGCTTCATGCGTTTATGCTGGATGTAAATGAAGTGCACCAGAAGTTATTAGAAATGGCTACCATTGATAGCTGACAGGGAAAATCTGAAACATTCATATAGGTAATCCATCTCAGCCTTGCAGGGGATTTCCTGGAGTGGCTAAGACAAAACAACAGAGATTAAAAAGCAGCTTCTGAGTTCTAGCTGTATAAAGTCAATAAATGCAAAGGCCATGTTGCACAACTACACTCGAATGAAATTAAAGTAGGAAGAACTTACATTCACACCCAATTGTTCTTTGTATAATGTAGTCAGTTTATACTAGAGCTGTGTTTATTTTTTTAATCTATTATATTCAGAAATGTTCATAGCTCTGTAGATATGTGCACCTGGAACATGAGCATGTTTAGAGTCTTGATATCTGCAGCAGCTCTTCTTACATCTGAAGGTGAGGATCACATGCTTTGTTTCATACTTGTTTACATTGTGTTTTTGACTTGTGTACATGCTTTAACAATCCCATCTTTTCTTTTTTTAAGGGCTCTTGTTTCAAGGACCTGCTCAGCCTCTGGTGGTACAGCTGGGGGGTTCCATCATACTGCCCTGCTCTGTGGAAACCCCATTACCTGTGGAGGAGCTGGAGGTCGAATGGAAGAGGACTGATGAAGAGGCATTAGTGCACTTGGTTTCAGGATGGACAGGACAGACCTGAGGCTCAGCATCAGTCTTACAGGGATAGAGCACATTTTTTTTCTGATCAGATCTTTAAAGAAAACTTCTCAATCCTGTTGGAAAATATAACAGTTGCAGACACTGGTCTCTACAGATGTGTAGTTTACTCTTACCAGGATGTTGGAGAGATCTCGGTTACAATTCAACATGTGGGTAAGTGTTTATCTCATTGCAAATAATCTTTAAACACTTTTTTACTTTACTTTTTTTCCTGCTTGATTTTTTCCTGCTTTTGTTTGTAACAGAGCGTGTAGTTGTGACAGGAGAAGATCAAATTGTATTTGCACGTGTTGGTGAGGATGTTGTTCTAAACTGCATGGTGGACTCCCATATCCCTCCTCAACACTTTGACGAGGTCTCATGGAAGAAGGTGGACAAAAGTCCAGACATCATTCCTGTGTTGCTTTTCCAGAATGGGACGATATTTCCAGGATCGTCTCACAAGCGTTACAGAGACAGAGCAGAGTTCTTCAGAGAAGAAATTCCCAAAGGCAACTTCTCAATAAGACTAAAAAATGTCCAGACTGCTGACAAGGGAGAATACATGTGTGAAGTCCACACAGAGAAATCAGTGAACTCTGCAACTGTAGAAATTCAGCGGTTGGGTAAGTCATCTGAGACATACACTGTAACCTCTTTTTTGTTTGTTTGTTTTTTCTAATAAATCAATACTTTTGTTTAAAAGTGACAGTAAAGACATCTAAATTATTTTGATTACAAATAATTGTTATTTTTGTTTCTACAAAAATACTAAGCAGCACAACAGTGTTGCTATTGTTGACAAAAACTAATAAAAATACTTTTCAGTTATTTAAATAAAGCTAAAATAAAATGGAGATATTAGATGGAAAACTCAAAACACAAATGAAAAGTAAAAATGTTGCATTGACAACTAACTAAAAATAAGCAACATAAAATAATTACTAGAACTGAAATAAAGCTATAAACATGTTTTTAAACAAAGACGAATAGACAAAAGCACATAACAAAATTACTAAAACAAATCTGAAATATATAAATAAGATAATAATAATAAATGTTTCTAAAGCAGCAAATCAGCATATTAGTATGATTTCTGAAGCATCATGTGACACTGAAGACTGGAGTAATGATGCTGAAAATACAGCTTTGCATCACAAATTACATTTCGAAATATATTAAAACAGCAAACCATTACTTTAAGAATATTTCACAATATTACTGTTTATAGTGCATTCTGTAGCCTTTACTGTATAAATACAGTCTTGGTGAGCAGAAGACACTTCAAAAACATTTAAAAAAAAAATCTTACTGGCCACAAACTTTTGAGACATAGTGTAGATATGTATATCATTTATAAATCAATTTATGTATTTGCTTTGTGGAAACAATGATTTAGTTTTTTATCAAATGCTGTAATACATTTGTCTCAAATGGTTCTTTTTAACAGCTTAATGTAGGGATGTCTGCTCTGCACATCATCATACTGATGCTTTGCTTTACTTCCCTCTTGTTGACTTTTATATTAAAGGGGTCATATGATGCGATTTCAAGTTTTCCTTTCTCTTTGCAGTCACTATCTATATAAGCAGAAAAGGTAGGCTAGGAGTTATGGAGGTATGCTGTTAAGAGTTATATTTTTAATGTATTCCAAATGTAAAGTAATAGGATGTTTAATTGCCGTTCTTTTATTCTCAGACACCATGTATCTGATTGCACATGGTGTTTATGTTCTTCTGCAGATACTGGCACAAAACCCATGTACATAAATTATCTGCAGGCAGTCTGTCCCAACATCTGTTTGTCTATTGCATTTGTTCTGTGGGGTGTAATTGAAGGTAAGTGACTTGAACATTCCTAAGTCTGCATGTATCGTCAGTTTTTTTTTTTTAATCTTATAAGCCTGTTGATGTCTTGAAAGTGTTTTTTTTCATTGCTTTGTTCAGGGTCTGTTGTTGAGGTAACAATGTGTGCAACAATTAATCTGACGAGGATCATTTTATTATTTCTTATGGCCCCATATTTTAATTGGAACACAACAGTTTCTGGTATGTACATTTCATAACTATTATTTTATAATTGTGTATTATTAAGTGCTTTAAGGCACTGTGATAAATGCAAATATGAAATTTGAAAAGCTGACAATGTGTCATAAAACCAGTCATAAGGGTCAATTTTTCGAAATTGAGAATTATACATCATCTGAAAGCTGAATAAATAAGCTTTGCATTGATGTATGGTTTGTTAGGATAGGACAATATTTGGCTGAGATACAACTATTTGAAAATCTGGAATCTGAGGGCGCAGAAAAAAATCAAAACACTGAGAAAATCGCCTTTAAAGTTGTCCAAATGAAGTTCTTAGCAATGCATATTACTAATCAAAAATGTAGTTTTAATATATTTACAGTAGGAAATTTACAAACTATCTTCATGGAACATGATCTTTACTTAATATCCTAATGATTTTTGGCATAAAAGAAAAATCTATAATTTTGACCCATACAATGTATTTTTGGCTATTGCTACAAATATACCCCAGCAACTTAAGACTGGTTTTGTGGTCCAGGGTCGCATATATTACAATGGCTCGTAACAGACAAGTTAGAATCCGAGACAAATGGGCAAAGGTCAGGTAAATGGAGAACAGCAAATTAGAAATGCAAGACACAGATACAATTAGACTCCAATACACTCTAAACACAATAATTCACCAATCTCTATGATACGAAACTCTACATGAAACGAACGAATCGACGAATACATTAACACAAAGGTAATGAGTTAACAAACAAACGCGAATTGACAGGAAGAACGAATTTGGCAAATGGTACAAAGATGGCCAAGGTTGAGCGTTTGGGACATTCCTTATAACTGGCCGGGTCAGGTGAGAGAGTGGACCAATAGCCACCTCCAATGAATAAGAACATGCCCACCTGTAACACAACATGCACATTCACAGATACAATATACACACAAGAGGGCAGTATTATGGAAGAATATTTGTAGTATAACATGAATGAACATATGAAATCAACTTGTAACAGT